AAGCCAATCAATTTGTTTCTATCACTCACTCTCTCTCTCTCTCTCTAAACGTAATATTGTTTTTGATTGCATAACAAGAATGTGTTTCACATTTCTATCGCAAACGAATGGAGAGCCGGACGACTACTACCACATCAACAACAATATCGTATTCAACGACCACATGTTAGACATGTTTTACCTGAAACTCCGTTTGGCGCACAGCGTGCGGGTACGGGTGGCCGTACACTCCCGGCGCAAACCGCTCCGGGATGTCTACAAAGCCAAACTCGTTGAATACCCGCTTAAGGCTCGCGTCAATAACCACCACAACAACAACCAGTATAACAATACTGGTAGTATTGGGGCCGGTATTCACACAACCGACTACTACCTGAAATATCGGAAACACATCACTCAATCCCTGCCCAAACCGTACGAAACCGATTGCCATGACTACAGGGTTGATGGGCACATATCGCTATACGACTGCGTGGCCACGTGTCGCACCCGGCTATTCATGGAGACACAGCGCCCCCTATGGCCGGGTAACTACCTATGCTATGACCGTACACTCGAGCTCAAAATGATCAACACTTACGACTATTTCGCTGCCAACTTAACCCTCGACGATCAGTTAGGGGCAAAGTGTAGGGGTCTGTGCGGGCTTAGGGCCGAGTGCCTGTACGGCCGGTACGAGTTTAGCATAAAGCAAATGGCAATAACAACCGGCGGTTTTTATGTGGTACTGTTCGCGCCTGACTCACCCGACTTGGTATACACTCATAGGCCAAAGATTTTGTTTGAAGAGTTTGTATCGTATATGGCATCCTATGTTAACTTATGGTTTGGCGTTTCCATAGTAATGTTGTCCAATGTGGTGCACGCATGCGCACTCTTTGTAAGACAGAAGTATCGCCTGTATTGTCGCTTTCGGTGCACAACAAACACTGTATTTGTAAATCAAGTTAAGTTCGATTTTGGGCACAGATTGCATACAGGTTAAGTTTGATTTTTGAATATGATAGAATATTGTTTTTTTTGTAATTAAGATTTATGTGTTCTATCATGATTGTTATTATTAATCACTTGTGTTAATATAATTCTGTTTGATTTTTAGTTTTAAAAATAAAATGTTATTTTGATTAATTAAAAGTTTATTTATTTTATAATTAATGTATTTATACACGACAAATATTATCAATAGTAAGTCCACTAAATAATTTATTGATTAAACTTATATATAATATTATGAATATAATTATAAATATCACAATGAGAATTCAATTTATTTAATTTTAAATTACATATTTAGTAAGAATAACAATCATGTTTGAAATGTTGTGCTTAATTTATGAGTTAATAGAAAATAACGAATGAATAGCAAAAACATCTGAAATGAAAGAGAAATTTATTTTAATTCATTTTAAATAATAATTGAATGAATGCCTACTTTTGCGGCAACACTTCTGGTGATAACGTATTGATTACTACACGAAAAGCCAATCAATTTGTTTCTATCACTCACTCTCTCAATGCATACCAATAACTATAAGAAATAATTTTTTGAATATAAAACTAAACATGATTTATTTTCAAACCTTTATTTTGTCTATTAAATTTGAATTTAATTCAGTCGAGATGTATATTAAATATAGAATTTTATATGTCTTTGAAATATTATTATTAATATCTGATATAATTATATTAGTGCAAAAATTGATATATAAAATGATAATAAAAATAATGTATAGAATATTCTGGTATTAATAGAGATGTTGCGAGAAATTACTAAATTTGCAAATAAATTACATATTGGTAACAAAATGTATATCAATATAAAGTATACATTTTGCCAAAATTTATTGTAAGATTCAATATCCAAACAAAGTTTGTGATGATTTTTATATATTATTTCTAATTAAATTCAAACAACAAATATTTTATGCGATATTTAATATAATAGCAAACCATTAGAAAATAAAATATAACCCAAATTGATATTCTTGTGTAAATATAATAGATGCTGTAACTTATTATATAGGTAAATATAATATAAACCAAATTAATCATAAAATAATTATAATTTAATATAAATATTGCAATGTACATTAGAATTAACGATACGTCCAAACAAATTAGACCATATTTTATCAATTTTTGGAGTAATATTATTTTATTTTTATACTTATCCGCCAAATCTTTGTTGCATAAACCGATTGATGCAAACGTTTGATAGCCATTAATAGCTGACATTATATCAAACCATTTATAATCACTTTTATTACGAGTGTTTATAATGATTACTAGACCTAATATTAAACTCATTCCTAATAGAGAACAGAAATATAAAAAGTTTTTAAAGCCTCCCATATGTTGGTATATATCAAAGTAATAAACGGGCAATAATTTACCAGGCTTGCTTTTAATTATTAGATGACCACTCTTTAATATATAAACAATTATTAATAATATTACAATAATTACTTTGCATTTCTGTGTATTTTGTATAGTTTTGTTGACATATCTATTGTTGGCATCGAATCTATAAAATATCCAATTCTTATACAACGGGTACTCAATATCCATAGGATTTATCACATCTACTCTTAATGACATTTTTGAGATGGTTTTAACAAAAAATATCAAAACAGTAGAGAAGACAGTATCAAATATTTTAATAGTAAACTGTATCAAGCCCATTTTATAACGCGTTTTTACAATAAGAAAGCAAAGTGTAAATTGACAACCAATTGACAAATTCTAGTTACGGAAGTTAAGTTAAGTTCCTTATATTAAATTTAAATAAACTAAACATAAATTTATTTTAAAAATACCTAAATATCTTAAACTATATTAAATTAAACTAAAAACTAGATAACATATATATTATAATTGTGCATTTAAATGTTAATTATCTTATTTGCATAATTTAGAAAAATGCCAAACCACTTAATTTTACGACTATTATAGAATAAGTTATAAACTATTTTAGACGAAAATGTTAGACAATTTTATTGTTATAAAATATTATAATTATTAAATTAAAATAGTTTTAAATAAACACTAAAATGTATTATATAATACATAAAACTAACGTTTGCAATTAAAATATTTTTATTATATCGTATTATTTACTAAATCAAGTTTTAATTTATAATGGAATAGTTTATTGAATTATTTTGTTTTATACAATAAAAATTCATAGAAAAATGAGTTGTCATTAGATTTTAGTGTATTTAGCAATTCATTGAATTCTTCGTTGTTTTCCGTAATCACATGTCTATCGACTGACCAGTAGTTGTATTCCTGTAGTACTTGATTACTGGTCGGCCGATTGTCGGCCATTGACTGAAACATATGTCCAATCATTTCATACAGTTTGTTAAAATTGGCCGAAAATGCGGTCAAATTGTATATTTCCAAAGGATTATCACTAAATAGATAAATCGAAATTTTTATTAAAATTTAAATAAATATGTTATAAATGTCATACATATTGAATAAATCAAACAAATGCTGTGAAACCAATGCCAGACTATAGATGTCTACTTTAGATGTGTATCGACTTTGAAACACTTCGGGTGCCATATATTGTGCTGAACCGACACTAACCGTATGGCTCATGGATACCATGTTGTGTTTAACGGCAATACCAAAGTCACCGAGTTTTACAAACGTATCATTACTAGTGTTGCTAACAATTAACACATTTTCGGGTTTTAAGTCCCGGTGAATGATCGGCGGATCCAAACCGTGAAGATATTGCAAACATTGCAAAAGTTCCCGAAGTATTTCACACGATATAAAATACTCGTAGATATTCATTGCGTCCGACGATTGTCTGCCAAATACTATGGGTTTGTCTCGGATTACAGACCCGAGTGTTTGCGAGCAGTACTCCATATGAATGAACATATGTTTCCCTTCGGACCACGAGTTGTAATATTTGACCACAAATTTTGAGTCCAATTCTGATAATAATTTCACTTCTTTTAGGATTTTTTGTTTCTTTTCTTTACTAAAATCTAAACAAAATATTTTGAAAAATATAATATTATATTTGTTTTGTTTTTATAAAATAAAATTTAATGGTCAATTGACTATATTGTGTCTATAAATAATATGTGAACAATTAAATACTGTATATAGTTATGATATTTACCTCCAAATAGTACTCTTTTAACGGCATATATCTTATCATCCAATCTATGTTTTACTTTAAATACAGTCCCAAAACCACCCGAACCTATGGCTGACATCTCAATGAATTGTGTTTTATAATTACCATCACTACACGACACGGTTTCGGTATCACTTAAATTATCGTTATTTACATTTCTAGACTTTGTATCATTTAAATTAATTGTATTATACGATATTCGGCATTCATCGGCGTAATAATCAATAAAATTACTGTAATTTGTTTCAATTAATTTGATTTCTTTCGATATGTTATAAATCTTGTCGTTAATTAAAATACACATGAATTCATTGTTATTACTATTAATCCATGAATTAATTTGTGCTAATTCTTGAAAATGTTGTGCCGATAGTATTTGTTTCGGAATCAATTCAATTATTCCTGGATTGGTTTTGCAACTTTTTCCGCAAAAATACAAACCATTGATTGTGTGAAAATATGTACAATACTTATTGCAAATAATTGATTTCACATTATCTATGGTCGATATCAATCGGGGTAGATATGCATTGTCATCATTATTATTATCGTTTAGATTGTGTCCCAAATGATTGCTATTATTTTGACCCCAACTGAATACATGTCCATCGGTTGTGATGGCAAACGCGCATTCATTATAACAATAAACAGCTTTTATTTTACTACCATTAGTGAATTTTATTTCAACCGGGGTGCAAATAAACTCATTGTTGCCATCGCAACCAATATCACCGCCGCCTTTACAGCCAATTGCTTTATAGCTATTGTCACCCCAGGAGTATACCCGGCCATCACCGGTCAGCGCCAGTGTATTATAACTACCGCAACTGATTTGTGTGATATTTAGATTATTCAAACAAGTTATTATCGCTGGCGCTAAACAATCAATATAATCACTAATATAGCCCATACCCAATTGACCACGGCCATTATTGCCAAACGCATAAATCCTATTTGTGTTAATCACGAGCCGTGAGTGATGATGAATAGTGCTAAAAGGCCTTAAATCCTGAGCCTTGGTCACGGCTAACACAAAGTCCTTTCCATTGACAAAGTATTGTATGTTTTGATGACATAATTGTGGGATCAGTTGCGGTGATAGTATTGTAACTCTGGTTGTATTGTTATTCTTGGGTAAAAAATTTAAATATCCCATACTATTACTTCCAAGACAATAAACTATATCATCATTGGTTATAAATAATATATTATTATCATTAAAAACATGCAATTTTGTAATGTTTTCCTTAATATTAGTTGGAATTTCATTACAATAATTGAAATGGTTTAGTAATTCACACATTTTTACAACAATATAAGTAATTATTTACAAATTCTTTTAACATTTAATGTACACAACAAATATACCAAAATAACTTCATTTATTAAAATACAAATATATATTATTTTTTTAACTAATTTTTGTTTTAACAAAAAAATTATATTATATTTGTTATAATTCAATACAATTTTTTATAACAATTATAAAAATCTGTAAAAACCATTGGATACAGAGATTTAAACATAATATAATTTATTACAAGCTATGATAATATTTTGAGATAATTATAGATTACTGTAATATAAAATGTAGTTAATGAAAAAACTTTAATTACTGAAAGAGTTAGTTCTCTTTATAAATATTATATTTAACTTCAATATTTTAATTTTGATGCTTTATTTAAATGATTAATTTAACATTTATATTATTATTACTATTTGCTAAGCACTAGATAATTTAATTATTATAAATATTTAATTTTCATATTACAATTTAAGAATCTAAGCATATTATGATTTATAATTAACACTTAACTTATTGATTTTACAAAAACATTATTACAACATGTAATTTTACTTTAATTAACAATGACCATAATTAAATTCCATTAATCAAAATTGCCTTAATTTTGGGACAATTGTCATAAAGGGTGTCAACAGTCTGTCTCACAAACATAGGCTTACCGTTAAGTGTAATGAATTGTATTTTTGGGACACTTGAAAACACAGCCAACAGGCCGTCGGTTATGCATGTATTCACTACGCAAATGGACCGCAGTTTCGGCAAATATGTGCCAATATGTGGCGTAAAAATATTAATGCAATTAATGTATGGCTTAAGGGTTAAGTGCGTTAAGCGCTTGTATTGTGGCAACCAATCGATAGAAAGTACGAAATTTTGCGGGAAATTCCCGGAAATCTCCAAACGTGTTAAACGTTTGAAACACTGGCCAAGAGTTACCATCAATTGCCGCATATATACGCGTTCGCTGACAGTCAGGCGTAACGATAGGCGCCGAATAGGGGCTAACCCTTGGCCAATATCGGTCAGATTTTTTACCATGGTTATATGGTCGTAGTTACCATGGCAATAATCTAATTGCAAGTCAACCAATGCAGTCAATTGTGTCAATCCATTAACCAATACGTGTAGTGTTGACGGCCCGCTCCAACCCCGATGTAGTGTAATGTACAGCGATTTAACGGTATTTCCATATAAACGGCTAAATATTTCCACAAAATCCGAGTCCTGATTGTAATAATTTAGGCAAAATTTTGTCACCTTGATCAATTTAGCATTTTTATTCTCGTCAAACAAGTCCTCCAAGCGGTCAATACACGGGGTATTAATTTCACGCGCGTTAACGCATGCGCTCACCAGTGAGTGTATGTCGGCGTTTGGGTGAGTGTTGACAACTGTCGCCGTTTTGAGTTGCGGTCCGAAACGCGTAAAATACTTGTCTAGTGTTGACAGATCTGTGACCGTAATTACAGTCACGTGAACGCCGGACACGTGTGGACAGAGTTTGGTAATTATATCGATAAGCTCTGTGAAGGCGTAAAATTCAACATAGGTTATATTGGGAAACTTTTTAACCATAGCCTCAACGCGTGTCCAACCATCGGTAGAGTGACCAGATGTCAGGCGCTTTATTTTCATCCGTAACGGATAGTTAACGTTAAGCGCGTGTTGTGTTGTGTAGACCACGTGTTGCCACTGTTTGGCCACACATTCACACCGGAATCGGTCCTCAAATGACAGATAACTCAACAATACTTCACACAAATCGCCGCTAAATCTTGAGAAACTATTTTTCTCATAGATTTGAGACATTATTTTATTGCGAATATAATAAACCTAATTAAATTAAAATATATATTTAATTAAATATAAACCACATTATTCATAGCTGAATTGTGGTTAAAATGACCCTCTCGCATTCAATTATAAATGCAAATAATGTTAAATAGTGATAATTTTTGGCAAGATATTGCTACCAAGTAAGCAAGGTTTGGTATTTATTTATCATTATTAATAAGAATCTATTAATATTACAAAAGTTTCTATTAAAACTTTAAACTGTTAGCTATTTGGAATAATTGATTGCACATGCTCACATTAAAATTACTCATTTTATTAGTAATATAAATGTATTTAATATTTAAAACAATTTTATTAATTGTATTTAAAAATTAAATGCAATGAAGAGTTTGTGTGAAATAATAGACAAAATT